CTAATTATTGAGAGCCAAGGTACTCTGTTCCACAATAGAGTTTACTAGATTATTATTTCTCAATAATTAGAATGTCCTCAACCAGTAGATCAGATGTGCGTGTTTTAATGAAATTGAACTTTTCTCATTATTATTATCGTCGTGTTGATTGTGTTATTTTAAAGAATTTCTAAGTTAATGAACGTCATGTTGACAATGTTATTTTAAAGAATTTCAAAGTGAATTGAACGTCGTGTTGACAATGTTATTTTAAAGAATTTCTAAGTTAATGAACGTCATGTTGACAATGTTATTTTAAAGAATTTCAAAGTGAACTGAACGATGTGTTGACAATGTTGTTTTAAAGAATTTCAAAGTAAATTGAACGTCGTATTGACAGTGTTATTTTAAAGAATTTCAAAGTAAATTGAACGTCGTATTGACAGTGTTATTTTAAAGAATTTCAAAGTGAATTGAACGTCGTGTTGACAGTGTTATTTTAAAGAATTTCAATGTGAATTGAACGATGTCCGTACAGACACGATAAAGATGCTTAATTACCTCTTCCTTTTGCATCAATGGGAAGAGAGATGTTATTTGTCTCTCTTTTGGTTCGCAGGTGAGAAAAATAAAGTTGTACACGTGTACTGGGGTCAGAGCCTCCATCTAGACTGTACATTACACTCTTACGATGTTGGTGGAACAGAAATGGGGTTAATACAGTGGACCCATCTTAGTCATGAGAAGGGTCCTCGTTCCATCAAACCTCATCGAGATAAGTACCTCCTCACCTCAGACCATGGACTGGTCATCATGGCAGTGACTGGTCGTGATACTGGACAGTACGAATGTAAACTAGGAGATGACACGCTGTGTAATTACAACGTGACAGTGGACTCGAGTAAGTTTTCTCTCAAAGTTAGGCAGGTTGGAAGATATGATTAGTAAATTCTTAAATTTTGCCATCAGTTCTTATCTATATTAACCAATATTGACGAAAACGTTATAGCTTTATCAGAAATAGGCTTTACTTTCTTCAGTATTCTGATACAAAGTCATGCAGTTATTCTGAAATTTGTCAAGGTTTTCTATGAACTACCTTGGAAGGTATAGAAAATAATTCTTATTAAATAATGCTAGATAATTTAAATCATAATGTTATCTTTTGAACAAATAATTGGTACACGTAGCTACACGTGATATTATGTAATTTAAAAAGCTATCAACAATATTATTTTATCTATTTAAAGCAATTTATATTCTGATTTCCGTAAACATCTGTATTTAGAACTGTTAATAGCCTAGTTTTTGTAACATCTGTATTTAGAACTGTTAATAGCCTAGTTTTTGTAACATCTGTATTTAGAACTGTTAATAGCCTAGTTTTTGTAACATCTGTATTTAGAACTGTTAATAGCCTAGTTTTTGTAACATCTGTATTTAGAACTGTTAATAGCCTAGTTTTCGTAACATCTGTATTTAGAACTGTTAATAGCCTAGTTCTGTAACATCTGTATTTAGCCTTGTTTTCAAAACGTTAGTATTTAATTCAGTTCATAGTCTACTTTCCATAACGTCTGTGTTTTAACAGAGACCTGTAATGCTCCTTCAGAAAATGATTACAAGAAGATATATTCTGACTGGTGTCAGGAGTTTGAAAAGTATAAATTGGCCATGAAAGCCTGGCAAAGTAAACAAGCTGTAAGTTTTTATGTTTGTAAAAATATCTTCAGTATATAGAATACAGACATATGTTTTCATTTAGCATTCATTTTCTATGAGAGGTATTTTGCTATCATATAACTAAACCAGTGTTGAGTGAGAGGTACTAGGATATCATATAACTGATCTAGTGGTTGATACAGCTAGTCTGCTATCATATAACTGATCTAGTGGTTGAATGACAGATATTCTGCTATCATATAACTGATCTAGTGGTTGAATGACAGATACGCTGCTATCATATAACTGACCTAGTGGTTGATACAGCTAGTCTGCTATCATATAACTGATCTAGTGGTTGAATGACAGATATTCTGCTATCATATAACTGATCTAGTGGTTGACTGATAGCTACTCTACTATCATATAACTGATCTAGTGGTTGACTGATAGCTACTCTACTATCATATAACTGACCTAGTGGTTGACTGATAGCTACTC